CTCTCTCTCTCTCTCTCTCTCTCTCTCTCTCTCTCTCTCTCTCTCTTTGTCTCTCTCTCTCTGTGTCTGTCTCTCCAGCACCATTCACGCTAGAAAATGAAGAAAAGGTTAAACAACTCCAACGAGATTCGCAAAACGTCAGTGCGAGCAAGCGTGATAATCTTACTGTCGATTCGTTAGAGGGCTCACTATGCACAGTTATTCGTTATTGAGCTCTAGAGGCTTTGGGCCAAGACTAAAGCGTTAATTGAATAGTATAGGATATGTTCTAGCATAACTTCTTGTTTGCTTGAAAGGGGGGAGTTTTTTGATGATGGGAAAATGGAAAATGATTTTTATACTATAGGCCTACCCACGAACACTCATTCCGATTTTTGCTGTTTGAATGCGAGGAGGACTTGATTTTGTACCTTTTTACATGTTCAGAAAAAATCACGGGGTCATCCTTTGCGCCTCCACCCCTTTAAAATGTTGGGTATTCATCTTTCCCACGTGATACAAGATTCCACCTTTATTTCTTAGGCTCGCTCATTCGCTCAGTGGTTTGTTTATTTGTTTGTTGGTTGGTGTTGGGGTGTTTGTTTGTTGGGATGGTGGGGCTGTTTGTTTGGTGCTTATTTGTCAGGCCCTATACGTATCGTTCGTTTGTCAAGTTATTTAAGTTATCAACTCATTCATTTATTTTTTTCAACTGTTAGTACATGTATTTCGTTTGTGTTATTATTTACAGATGCAAATGCGTTTTGCGACCATCCTTTCCTTTGCCATCTTTCTGCGTCACTGTGGCAAACTCCGAGCTCAAACTCCTGCGCCGGTTGGCCCCGAAACTGATGTTCCTGAGTCTCAGGGGTGTTCAGCGTGTTGCCAGGGATCCCCTGCAGGGGTGCCTGGCATACCAGGCTTGCCAGGTAGCCCGGGTGGTTGTGGACCCAGAGGGCCCAGAGGAGACGCAGGTGAGTCACGTCAAAAGGTCAGATAGGTGCAGTAGGTGTGCTGGGGGTCCCAGAGACACTGTGCCTAAAGAGGACGGTGGAATAGGTCTGCTTGTAGGGAAACGCACGCCGTGGTCCAGTAGTTCTGGTATCCGATGTTCTTTTCATCATTTTTTGAATCGTACCAAAATTTAGTTCTTACACAAGACAGCGAATAGTGGATAGCTACATCAAGAAATAATGACGAATAATAATGGGTAAAAATGGAAACAAAACGGGTTCAAATCTCATTTTAGTTTCCATTACAGGTAAAAACTACACGGAAATTAATTGGATAAAGGTACAAACGACAATCAGTCTCATGACCATCACACAGTGGACAGAAACTGCTTATTCAGTAGGTTGGCTACACTCAAAGTACACTTACTCTTGTATTTGCTCAGAATAGGCCTATATGTACACTCAACATCAGTCAACATCCAACAGTCCTCAACTTGCTAGAAGTTCTTAAAGTTGCTCGTTTTATGTGGAAATCAGTCACAAAATCTGTTTGAACTAAGTAGAAACTTGCCAAAATGAAGGGTCAACTGCTCCAGTCTCTTGGATGTTGGTGGGATATTCAGTTCACGGCAACTTAAAGATTTGTTCACACAGTGATCATTAGTAAGGATCGGTTTCTTGAATTGGACACTTGACCACGGTTGTCTCTTTTCGGTCACCCAGAGGTATAACTAGACACCTGGGAGGTTGGATAACAATTCAGTTATTGTCTACCGTGGAACTTCTCTCATGCTTCATCAGTAACGACAGCATAGGCAATCTCGTGCCTTAGTGATGAAGTAGTACGCCTTAAGTACTTTTTCATTGTCATGATTTTTATTTTTGCCAGGTCCAATAGGACCACCTGGTTTAGGTGGCCTACCCGGGGAAGCTGGTGTCAAAGGTCAAAAGGGTGATCCGGGGGAGACTCCAAATGTCTCTTCCCATCGGGTAGCATTCACAGCAAGAAGGACAACCAACTCAGCTACCTCAACGAGTGGCAACACCCGTTTGCCCTTCGATGAGACTGAGACGCTTCTACCGGGTACCAGCTTCGATCTGGCGACTGGTACATTCACGTGTGATGTGCCAGGTACCTACGTTTTCATGTTTTCCGTGCTCAAATCTTCCTCCAGCACCACCTTCTACATTTATTTGAGGAAAAACAACTTCATTGTTGTCTCTGCTTATAGCAACGATTCAAGTAATTATGATCAGGTGTCTGGAGGTGCAGTGCTAGTTCTGCAGCAAGGAGACACAGTGTATTTAACCATGACCGGTAGGGCGTATAGTGATTCCGACCATGAATCCTCCTTCACTGGTTTTCTCCTCTTTGCCAATTAAACACTTAACGCATGCAGTAAAGTACCCATGTCGTTCTTTTTGCGCCTACTTTTTAGACACCTCAGTCTCCGGGTTCATGAAAACACACAGTTGCCTCCAAACGATTCTTCAATCTCAGTCAATCTTAACCGAATCAGATAACCATAATAATTATGTTGTAGTAGTCAATGCTACCACGAACCTGTAGCGTACATTTTGCATTGTCAGTCTCGTGATGTACACGTTTTTGTGTAATTACACGTAATTAGTTTCGTCTGAATTGGGGAAAGGGAGATCTAAACTACATACTTGCCATTGTTCAAATCAGCATTTTAGGCATGGTACGCAGTGGGCATATGCAAAGCTTCAAGCTACCGAAGTGAGGTTACAATTATTGTTTCAGAATGTTTGTACTATAAGCAGCCTGTTCATCAACGTATACATCATTGTGATAGAATTCGTTCGAAGCTTTGCTCGTGCCTTAAATAGAAGGAAATGAAGTTGTTGTTTTTTCAAATAATCAAATATA